CTACTTACTAAACTGTAGATTTCTCAAGGGACTGTGTCTTGTTCACCACAGAAAATTCCATTACCTGGCACAGGGCCTGGCACATAGTAGGTGCCCAATATATATGTGTTAAATGGATTGTTTTATTATTGAAGTAGAGTTGACTTACAACATTAGTTTCAGGTGTACAATATAGGGATTCACTATTTTTATAGATCATACTCTGTATAAAGATATTATAAAATATTGCCCATATTTTCCCTGTGCTGTACATTACATCCTTAAATCTTACTCATTTTATACCTAGTAGTACCTCTAAATCCCCTTATCTTCCCTTGACCCTCCCCCAACCCCTCTCCTCAATGGGAGCCAACTAGTTTGTTCTCTGTATCTGTGAGTCGGTTTCTGTATTATAATATTCATTCATTTTATTTTTTAGATTCCACATATAAGTGAAAACTGTATTTGTCTTTCTCACTTTGACTTATTTCGCTTAGCATAATACCCTCTAGGTCCATCCATGTTGTTGAAATATTTGTTAAATGGATTTAAACTTCAAACAAGGTTTGTCACATCCAAGGAAGATAAAACACATAGAGCCAGAGTCAAATTTCTGCTTTGGAGAAAGCAAATAAAGGAGTAGGAAAGGGAAAAGTAAGGAGACAAGGTGTAAAATTTCTTGAGCCCCTAATGCGCGCTGGTGTGCTCTTTTAGTTGTGTTGTTTTTTTTTTTTAAGTTTTAGATGTTATCCCACTTAAACCTATAATAACATTATATGACACATTATAGTATTTCTGAGTTGCAGGTGAGAACTCTGATGCTCATGAATGCTTTTAAACTCACGGCAATGTGGTTCCACAGTCTACACAGTGGCTACCTCAATACAAACAGATGTTAAAGATGTTGCCCAGCAAATCACAGAAAGGTGAGGGCTTCCAACTGTAAAGCTCCCAGAGTGACTGTGTGAATTACTCAGAAACTTGTTCTGCTGAATAACTTGGAAGATGAAGCTTTATATGAGCCTCAATTCTCATTACTTCTGTTTCTATTTTATTTTCCAGTGTCAGTTGTATTTGCATGTAACCCCTCACAGTCCTTTTCCTGAAAACTCTTGAGGAAAAAAAAAAATGGCTTACTGAAATGGAAGTGGTGTCAGGATCCTGATTTCTTCCAAAACAATCAGCCAGTCCTTTTAATGTGCTTCCTGCAGTGAATGTCCAGCAATCCAAATCCCCCCACAGTGATAAATGGAAAGAGTGACAAATAGTGTTTTCCATGGAAATGACTAAGAATAATGGCTGGAGAAAACTGAAACAATGGCATTGAGTCCCATAATAATGCTGAACTACAAAGTTTATAAAATGTGGAACAATGGGGAACTCGACTTCACACTGACTAAAATTTCAGATCCAGCATCACATTACCTCCTCTACAAGGCAGGAGTAAAGCAATTCTGATTGTGCACCATTTTATTTCAAAGAAGTGGTGCCATCTTCCTGGTAATATCTGTTTCACCATTAAATTAGCTAACTCTTGGGATGATATTTCTCCTTCTACATAATATTTCTATATGCAATCCCTCATCTCACTCTTAGAATATATAAAGCAGGTGATTATTATCACCACTTTACAGATGAGGACACTGAGGCTGGGACAGTAACAGCTCCTCTGAGAGCTCACAGCTCATGGGGCAGAGCAGGGACTGGAACCTGGTCTATTTAATTCCTATGCTCTCACCACTGCCCCTCGCTACCTCCTAATACCACACCGTATAGAGGAAGACACTTACTTAAGAGTTTCCACACTGATGACTCCTTCCTAAAGGACAACCATCAAGGCATTACTCAGGAGAAAACCAAGAGGACTCCATAAGAGTACAAGTGAGGTCCGTCACTGCATTCCTCAAGCCTGCGATGGAAAATCTGCCATCAGCCCCCAAAGAACAGTGCCCTGGAGGAGCTGAAGTTAATGCTGGCTAAGGGCTTAGAGCAGCGATTGGCATATTGTACACGGTACACAAGGAGTGTTCATTAAACGAATGCACATACACTTAAGTGCCCAGGATGCCAAGTATTCTTTCTTTAAGCCTTCATCTCCACCAGCAGGGTAAATAGTAATAAAATTAGTAATAATAACAATAATAATGATTTATCATATTGGCTAGTAACAGCTTTAATCCTCATACAACTGTTTAATATATATTATTAGCCCTATTTTACAGATGGGGAAAACTGACATTAAGCAAATTCTCCAAGTTGTTTACTACTATTAAGTGGACAGTTAAGATTTGATTGCCCTATTGTTACAGAATGCAAGTCCGTGTGCCCCATGCGCAGTGAGGCCAAACAATCCCAAAACACTGGAATTTGGAACAGAGAAAGGTTGATTACGGGGCCATGCAAGGAGACGGGTGGCTCATACCTTGAAAACGCGGAACTCCCAGAAAGCTTTCAGCAAAGCCCTTTTATAGGAAAGGTGAGGGAGGGGCGTGGTTAGTTGATGCAGACTTCTTGGTGTCAGATCCTTTGTTCTTGAGGTCATGATGTTCCCGTAAACCTCACCAAAACAAATGTTATTCTCTGTTCTGACAAGAAAGGGAAGGGTAGGCATCTAGTTCTGTCTCCATGCCTCCTTGCGGCTTTTAACACTTAACAAATTCTGTAAGCAAAGCAACATCATTACCCCTCATTTTACAAGGTCCCAAGGCTCGACTTTCGCCCTCTGAGGCCCAGGCCCTGGCTAAGAGGAAGTGGGTCCCTGCAGGGGCCGGTTACCCTGCCCGGGAGCGTTAGTCCAGCACTCAGCCTGGGTCCTCCCGCCAGTGCCCAGCCCGACTGAAGAGGCAGAGCTCAGCTGGCAGCATCCTCAGGGCCAGGTCCCCAGATCCTGCGCAGCCGTCATCACTGAGGGAGCCAGGTGCCCTGGACCAAGTCGGCCCTCAGGCTTCTCAGGCCCCCCAGACGAGGGCCGGGTCCCACGGACGGTGACCCACGGTGACTGCCGCCGCCACTAGGTGGCGGAGGTGGGGATGGGGCAGAGGTTCGCTGCTGCCTCAAGGCCTGGGCCCGGCCAATAGGGGGCCATGGCGAGGGCTCTGGAGCTCTGCAGGACACAGCCCTCAGCCTGTCCGCGGGCCCCCCGGCTCACCCACCAGCTCGAGGCCAGAGGGCCTGGAAGGGAGGGCCCCTGAGAGAAGACCGCGATTCGCCTCTCACCGCACTCTCTACCATGGGGACCACAGCGCGGCTGACTGTCTGCAGAGCGAGACCTCTAATCGCCAAAAACTAACGGTCTCGCGGTCTCGAGGTCTCGCGGTCTCGAGGTCTCGCGCTAACCATCTCGGTCTCGCGCTAACAGCCGCCGCCCCGCCCCTATTATACTATTCTAAATTCTTCCCACCCTACCATGCTTCTTTAAGACCTAGTTAATTCAGTCAGGAATTAACTGTGTAGATCTAATGGTAAGGTATTCCATGGCTTTGTTGTGCCAGTTTCAGCATGGTTACCTATAGGCTGATATTTTGGCTGAACTAAAGCACAGAAAAGGTGGCCACCTTTTTTTAAATGAGAGAGGGTTTGGCCCCTTCAGTTTGATTTAGTGTCCTGGGAGTCCCCCAAGTCCCTTAGAGCTGCATTGTTCTTGAACCAAATGTATTTCGTATGCATTTGGAGTAACTGATGTCTTCCTAAAGGAAGAAGGAATATGGGAGGCAGGGGTGAGATTCATCTTCAACAAAAAAGGACAAATCCACTTGAAGCAACGAGGGAAAGAGTGAGACAGCCTAGGGACCACTTTTACTCTGAAAATATGGCAGAGGCTTCTTAGGACACATTACAGCCATTCCCCAAAGTGGTCTGCAGGACAGCCGCCAGGCACTAGCCCAACAAAGATAAAGACTGGGTATGAGAGGATGGATTTGAAGTATTGTAATAGGGTGACAGAGGCTATGGTCTTGGGACCTGTGTCTTCTTGAAAAGGGCCCTGAATTCAGCACTGTGTATATTCCTCAAGAATGTGTTACTGTCTGTAGATGATCCATGTGAGAAATTTTGTGTAATATCTGGGTGGTCTCTTACAAAGACCCTGAACCCCATGTTCTGAAAAAGGTCATTGGCCACTGTACCAGAAGGATGTCAATCCTGGCTTTCCCTCCCAGAGAATTTAGGAGAAACAGTTGACCCTTGAACAATGCCAGGGGGTTAGGGGTGCCAACCCTCTGCTCAGTGGAAAATCCTTGTATAGTCAGCCCTGGGTATCCTTTCTCAGTATCCCCGGTTCTGTCTCAGAGGATTCAACCATCTGCTGACCTTGTAGTACTGTAGTATTTACTATTGAAAAGTATCTGCATATAAGTGGACCCACACATTTGAAACCCATGTTGTTCAAGGGTCAGCTATTGATGTATACATGACATCAATGCTTTGATGTATTATCTCATCTAGTCCTTACACTAGGCCTGCAAATAAGCATCAAGAGCCCCTGCTTGCAGTTTACACAGCCATTCAACATATATTAAGCACATACTGCATTTCAGACACTATGCTGGGGATACCGCGGTGATTAATACAGCTGCGGCCCTGCCCCCTTGGAGTTTAATTTCCAAGGGAAGAAGGAAAAGTGACACGAGAAAGTTTTTAAAAATGGCGGGAGAGAGAAGGGTTAAGGTACCGAGAGAAGGAAGAAAGCAGGTATCCCTGCCCTTAGCCTGTCCCGGGCATTCCCCCTAGCTCCCCTCTCCTACTTATCTTCCTATCTTACCCCCCCCCCCCCCCCAACTCCCCCTCCCCCCCCCTCTTCTCCCCCTGCTCACCCACTCCCCCGCCTGGCTTCCAGAACTGCCCATTTTCTTGCCTGGTCGTGCGAACGGGTAGGAAGGGGTGAGAGGAGACGGTGCCCGGGGGTTCCACGAGCCCGCCCCCCCATTCCCCCCCACCTGGCGGCGTAACAGTCCTTCTCCAGCCCTGCGTGCGCCCACCGCCCCTGCTCCCTCCCCCAACCCTATGAGCAGGCTGGCTCCACAATGGGAAATGAGTCCAGTTACCCAGTAGAAGTGTGCTGCCACTTTGACCAAGACGAAATTAAACGGCTGGGCAAGCGGTTTAAGAAGCTGGACTCGGACAGTTCGGGCGCTCTGAGCGTGGAGGAGTTCATGTCCCTGCCGGAGCTACAGGAGAACCCATTGGCGCAGCGAGTGACAGTCGTCTTCGACACAGACGGCAATAGAGAGGTGGTGAAGAACCTAGGGGTAAGACGGGAATAAAGACATAGACCTACTAGAGAATGGACTTGAGGACACGGGGAGGAGGAAGGGTAAGCTGGGACGAAGTGAGAGAGTGGCATGGACATATATACACTACCAAATGTAAAACAGATAGCTAGTGGGAAGCAGCCGCATAGCCAGGGAGATCAGCTCGGTGCTTTGTGACCACCTAGAGGGGTGGGACAGGGAGGGTGGGAGGGAGGGAGACGCAAGAGGAAAGAGATATGGGAACAGATGTATATGTATAACTGATTCACTTTGTTATAAAGCAGAAACTAACACACCATTGTAAAGCAATTATACCCCAATAAAAATGTTAAATAAATAAATAAAAATAGAGAGGTGGACTTCGGGGAATTCATCCTGGGGACCTCCCAGTTCAGTGTCAAGGGAGACAAGGAGCAGAAGCTGAGGTTTGCTTTCATCATCTACAACATGGACAAGACGGCTACACTTCCAGCAGGGAGCCCTTCCAGGTGCTGACGATGATGGTGGGGGACAACCTGAAAGACTGGCAGTTACAGCAGCTCGTGGACAAAACCTGGGCATCCATCGTCCTGGGCAAGGATCGCGGTGGGAAAATATCCTTCCAGGAATTCAGTGCTGCGGTCGGAAGCCTGGAGAGCCACAAGAAGTTGCTGACAATTGTGCGAGCTTTTATAAGAGCACCACCCAACAACGACTTTTTCTTTCTTCTCAAAGATCAGCTCAAGAGGCCCAGCACCCGTCTCTCTGACCTGCTGGGAAGTATTTCTCTTTGTGAAGCAACATTTTCTGACACCAACCTCTTGCCCACCTCAGTGTTATTTATTCTCCTGGGAATGCCCTAAGTCAGGGAGAACATAATGAAGGAGCATGGAGGGGAAGAAAAAGAAATGGCTTTTATGAACGTATTTTCTTCTTTGTTTTGATTCAGAGGCCAAACTATAAAGAGTGAAGAATAACTTTTAAAGTTCAAAAATAAGAAAATATACATCTTTTCCTTTACTTCTCATGGTTTCATATGTGGGGAAAAATTCCAAAAAGGTGTTAGGTGAACTATTTTCATTTACTTGTGGTGTTCAGGCATCTTTTGACAGATTGTTATCTACTTATTGTAGCAACAGGGATGAATATATTTCTCTTGGCTGAGCATCTTTTAATCACCTCTCTCTGGGCAACAAAAACCCATCTTTCTCTTTTGAAAGCCGCAGCCCACTCCCCATGGTACATCCAGAAATCCCTGAGCATGTCTTGAGGGTTAGGAATCCAGCTAGGCTCCTCCTATCTCATCGCTCCAGCTCCTGAACAGTTTCTTTTCAGAGCAGAAACTCAGGGCTCTTGTAAGAAATGCTAAGACTGGACTAAATGCCCAGTCTAACGATCAGTCTCAGTGAAGGTGGGTTTTAAGGGTTGGCTGCCCACTCCAGTGTTAAGTTCAGTTAATGGGGCTTCCGCTCAAACAGGGCAGAGAACTTCGTAGGAAGCTCTCTCACCTCCAATACTCAGCCCCACTCCAGTTGGAGAGAATAGGCCACATTCAGAGTCATTCTTCCCACAAGCAGAGGCAGTGAAGATTCCAGCTGCAGTGGACTCTCCCTAGGATGCTGAAGCGGTGTTGCTCCTGGCGCTCAGAAGATGCAGAGATGAGCAGGTACACCTCTGCAGCGGGGGTGGACGCTGTCTACACTAACAAAATTACCTTTTAAAATCAGACTTGGGCCTGGCAGGGAAGACAAGAGCTCTCTCGTGGTGGGAAGCCTTTTCTCTAATGTAACAGTCAGCCCAGAGTCCCTCACACCCTAATAAACCTGCAGCCAAGGGGTGTGCTGGAGCCTATTCATACTGGGTGACAATCAAAGCGTGCACATCCCTCCCCAACCCCGTGTTCAGTGATGTCATGTCGATCGCTTGAAATCAGCCATAGTGGGAGTAGTAAGTACCTCACAGAAAAAAGCAGAAAGTTTTAGTTGTTTTGCTTCTGCTTGTTTTGGAGAGCCAGTGTACCAGTAAGTACACTGCTGCCTGCACCCTAGATGTTACCAGCTCTCTGTGGTCCCACTTACTACTGTCAGATCCCGGAGAACAAGCTGTCCTCAGAAGAGCTGGGACAGGACTGGTCCCAATGTCTGCCACTTTACATCAGGCCTGTTTCTCACAGTGGTCCAATCCCCGTAGAAGGTGCTTAAGGCTCTCAGAATACCAGGGCAATGAGACGTACTCTCCCTACATGTACTAAACCAAGGGACAAAACCCAGGTGATTTTTCTCAGGACAAGAAAGATCTGTTTCAAGATTAATTATCCTTATATTTCGAAGAGGCTGGTAGCTAGTCTTCCCTGCCCCCATCCCCCCGCAAAAATAAAACCCAAAAGTGGGACAAGTAAATCCACAAATTGAATTACTGTCCGAGCACCCATCTACCAAGGCACGCTGCCATACTTTTTATTTAATAAATTACTTATGAACCACAAAGAATAGGTATCCAACCCCTTAACTTCCTGCGCAGTCCTAAAAAAAATGTATTAATGATCAGTAAATGCTCCCAATCCTGTAGTTATATGAGTCTTACCCCCATTTCAGGGTAACATAGTTCAAAGACTCAGACTGGGTTTGGATGCAGTTACAACTGGGTTTTTAACACAGTCACTTCTTATTAGTTGTGCGAGCACGAGCATGTTACTTAACCTCTTTGTGTCATTTCTCCTGATTAAAATGAAGATCCATCCCCAGGTTATTTTGAGGATTCAAGAAGATTAAACATGTAAAGTGCTAGAGCACAAAACTTTCACGCTACCCATGGCCTTCCCTTCCCCCTTTCGTCCTCTTCTACTAGATCAATATATAAGGGAGAAGGAGGCCTCTTGGTTCCTTTCGAACGCTTACTTAGTACTTAGCCACACCCACTCTCAGATTAGCTGGACATTTGTGTGATCCTAATCCAGAAAGGAAACAATGGAAATAATGTCAAGATCTTCCCCACCCCTGCATTTGCAGAGGGGATAACAGATGTCTTGACTGGAGAAAGTTTAAAAGAGTGAGACTCTCATTCCAGCCCAACCTATTTGACTTTGTGGAGGAAACCTTGCATGAGAAAAGTGAGCTTGTGTAATGCCAGGGAAGAGGATTTCTGAAAGAGAGACATTATTTGTATACTCTGCAATGTGCATGTTAAAACATGGAAATTAAAAATTAGGACCGAGAGTTTGAAACATGTTGGATTACATGTTCAAATTTAACAAGAGGATGAAAACTATTTCAGCTCCTAGAGTGGCTGGAATTCACAAGCTAATTGCTTGATCAGTCTACCTAATATAGTTACCCAAGTCTTTGTGGCAGTGACCTGGAACTGTGAGCCTATTTCTAGCTTCAGCAACTAGAAAGATCTGACTGTATGAATATTTGGGAAGAGAGATCACATTTACTTCAAAATTAGAATGCTTTGATTCTTCTCTTTGTTAATTGCCAGTTGCCAACAAATCTAATTCTGTACAGTTCCTCGGGGTAATAATAGTAGTTAATGCATATTGAACAGCTGTTCCAGGTCCTGTTACATTTGTTATATCATTTAATCATCATAACAACACTGTGGGGTGGGTGCTATCATCTCAGTTTTACAGATGATGCTATGGAGAGATCTAGAATCTTCTCCAAGATATCCCAGCTGGTAAGTGGCAAAGTGAGGACCTGAACCAGGCTCTGTGACCCCAAATGCTGAGCTTTTTTCACCTCACTCCATTGCTTCCTATTTTTATGGTTTTTGTATTTACCTGCCTCAAATTATTCCTGATAGTCTGATTAATATAATCAAACCAAGCCTCAGTTTTTACAAAGAGGTGAATTTCTTGTCAAGGAGCAAGCAGCTTCTACCTCTTTGGTTCTATACAGTGCAAAAAATTAAAAATTAAAAGTATTAGGCAAGGCAGTCTTACATCATCATCCACCTCCATCTCATCTTGAGAAATAAGTGACAGTATTTAGATTAAGCTGGTAACAGCAACCAATATGTTTTGAGGCTGTAGACATCAGTAACACTACGTTGTTGTGAATCATATATTAATAGATTGTGTCTGCCCTCTACCATATGTTGCAATCCCCAAACCACTAGACACTTCTCTTTTTTTTGAAACGTAGGAAAAAATATGGCCTTAGCATAGTTGGTTTATTCTCTAAATCTATCTTGCTTCAGAGGAATTCTCAAGGAAAAACCTTCAGGAATTTTTTTTATTACAAATTCCATTCTTCACTTATGCTTATTGATTCTCTCTGTTAGGATTTAAAGTGGTTCGTGAGTCTGGCTACTATGTTTTATCTATTTTGCATGCCTTGAAAAGGGAGAGGCTTGGATGTTTTTTAAGACAAGGTGGCATCATGTTAAAGGAGTCAGGTCGCTAGACTGAGAATCGGAACTGGACCTCTCTCCTTTCGTATTGGCTGCCCTAGCTCTTCCACTGGCTGGTGACTGTGTAAATAGTGACAAACCATGTGTCAGCTTTAAAGCACTAGCTGATCATAGTGAAAAACCATAACACTGAAGCGACATGAGCAGCAATAAAAGCTGTGTAGATAAAGGATACAATCTGACAGCTCTTAGACTAAATCTGACACACAAATAAGTTGTTTTGTTAATTTTACATGGTGTTTGTTCTCACAATGTTTTGTGTATGTGTGTGTGCATGGGTATGTTGCCAACATTTTTTTTAAAAATAGGATTTTAAGTAAAAATCAAAATTAGCATAAAGGAATGCAGACCACCCCGGGATGGGAGTGGCCTTTTACTGGCTAAGGTACCTCTGCAGCATGGGGCTGAAATCAAAAGTCTCAATAAAGACAAAGCAATATGTTCCACTCTTGTTAAAAAAGCTCAAGATGGACTGAAGTGTTCATTATTTTTCAGAAATAAAGCAATTGGTCATAAAACATCCCAAAAACTTCTGTTTCTAATGACTGAACAACAGAAGAGTTTCCAATAATCAAAACAAATAGAGCCATATAGAATTCAAACACCTGTACAATAAAATCTAACAAAACAAAGCTAACAGGAAAACTTAAAAATTGAGACACATATGTAATGTGTTAGGAAAGGGGTTAATAGCTTTTTTCAGTAAAAATCCATGCCTTTTCTGAAATGCATAATTGGGCAAATCATATAAATATATAATACATACCTGGGGCAACAGGAAAAACAAACATGAAAAAGTAGCCAGAAAAATTGAATAAATATAAATCAGAATACCTAAAACAGGAAAAAATGATTAGTTGCAAAACAGGGTTGGAGAGGATGTGAGCATCCTGTGCAATGGGGCATCTTGGGAATCACTGGGAATGGTTTTCACACTCTTGAGGACCATTTCACACACCACAAGGCATCAGAACGGTTATATGATCTTACCTGGTAATCCCACCCATTGCAATATATATCTCAAAGAAAGGATCAAAAACGACTTTTTAAATGCTATATGCAAAAGATTTTTTATTGTGGCAATATTTATTATATATATATAATAAGTAATATTAAATACCTGACAGTTTGGGAGTAAACTCAATTATGATAAAATAATAGTTACTGATAATATAAAGCTATTAAAGTTAATAAATAAAATAACTGTATAAATCCATAAATTTTTAGATTAAGTTTTTTAAAAAGCATAATTGTTATATTAACATATAACAGAGTTTACAACTCTGGAAAATATATGTGCATATGGTTGTAGCTCAGAAGAGAAAATGAAGAATTGAAAGTATATAGTAAAAGGATAATGGTAATCACCTCAAATTTAATTTTTAGAAATATTTTTCTGAGTTATTTTATTAATAAATTAAGACTTTTCAAAAGACCGCACAGTGGAGAT